TCTGCTGTTGTGTGTTCATACGTTGCGGTTAGATGGTAGCGTCCCGCTTGGTGGGCTCAACCCGGAAGGGTGCCATCCGATAGGCTTATACGGGTTAATAGGTTCGAGGTCATGCATTGGCACCATTTCTTAGTTTAAATACGTGGGACACATTGCCGATCGAGCCATCGACATATTAAAAAAAATATTGGTGCGACTTGAACTAGGCATGTGAATGTGTTGTAGCACCATGCGGGCGACCGTCGCCGTTGCTGACCGCCATCTGGAACGCCGTCGTTCTTGCAACACAGCGCCTCTCACCAGCCGCCTAATTTGTCGTGTGTTGTCCCAGTTTTTGCGTTAGCTGTAGAATGCACGTCAAGTGCAGGAGCTCTGGATGCCGAGTATCCCCATCGCCTGTGGGTGCACCCTTCCTCGTGAGGGGTCCCAGCCCGCAGCGGAGGAGGGGCTTCCCGCTCGGCCTGCCAAGAAGGGGGCGTGCTCACTAGAAACAGATTCCGGCTCAGCGCTCCCCCCCCCGAGGCCGCTGCGGCAGCCTCGGTGCTGTCCCCACGGCTGCCGTGCTTGCAGATGTCAAGAAGGCAGTCGGGTCCATCGAGGCAGGGATCCATCGACGGCAGCCCACTGGTGTCTCCAAGGAGGCTGTCGCTGAAGGGAGCTGGCGCCGATGTCAAGAAGGCCGCGCCCGCTCTCGCAGACTTCATGCAAGGTCGTAATCCGCACCAGGGCAGAGGAGGAGGAATGAGAGGAGGGAGGAGGAGGAGGAGGGGAGAAGGAGGAGGAGGAGGAGGAGAAGGAGGAGGAGGAGAAGGAGGAGGACGAGGAGGAGCAGAAGGAGGGGAGGAGGAGGGAGGAGGAGAGGAAGGAGGAGGAGGAGAGGAGAAGGAGAGAAGAGGAGGAGGAGGAGGAGGAGGAGGATGGTAGGAGGAGGCGGAGGAGGAGGAGGAGGAGGAGAAGGAAGAGGAGGAGGTGGAGGAGAACGAGGACGAGGAGACGAGGAGGACGAGGAGGACGAGGAGAGCGAGGAGAGAGAGGAGAGAGGAGAGGAGAGGAGAGGAGAGGAGAGAGAGGAGAGGAGAGGAGAGGAGAGGAGGAGAGGAGAGGAGAGGAGAGGAGGAGGAGGAGGAGGAGGAGGAGGAGGAGGAGGAGGAGGAGGAGGGGGGAGGAGGAGAGGAGGAGGAGGAGGAGGAGGAGGAGGAGGCGGAGGAGGCGGAGGCGGAGGCGGAGGCGGAGGCGGAGGCGGAGGCGGAGGCGGAGGCGGAGGCGGAGGCGGAGGAGGAGGAGGAGGAGGAGGAGGAGGAGGAGGGAGGAGGAGGAGGAGGAGGAGGAGGAGGAGGAGGAGGAGAGGAGGGGAGGAGGAGGAGGAGGAGGGAGGGGGAGGGAGGGAGGGAGGGAGGGAGGGAGGAGGGATGGAGGAGGGGGGGGGGGGGGGGAGGGGGTGGGGGGGGGAAGAGGGGGGAGGGAGGGGAGGAGGGGGAGGGGGGAGTGAGATTTCGTGTTCCCTCTTGGCTAAGATCAAGTGCAGTATCTGTTGTATGATTAGTAGCATGCATGCAGGCTTTGTGTTAGAGGATATTCGACCGTGATCGCATGAATGCTCAAGGATGCGGGTTCGCTAGCTACAAACATTTGAGTTTGGTAGCGGAGTTTCGGCTCCCTACCCTCACGCGCGGCCCCCGCGCGCGCCGGCGCCCCCAGGCGCCGCCATCGAGGAGCACGTTCCTCGGCCTCGCGCTCTCGCTGCGCGACTCCGTGTATCACTACGACGGGTTCATCACCGACGAGGTGAACGACACCCACAGGTTTCTCGTCACCCACGAGGTGACCCCTCTCGTCCTCCTCAGCGCGGAGATCAGCATCTTCTAGGCTGGGAGGCTAATACCTTACCGGGCCCACAGGGCCGACAAGCATTGCGAGCATCTTTGAGTATAGATATTGATCGAGTTTCTTGCTGGAAGTATGGGAGATTATAAGACACCAGCATCACTGCAGGAGTTCACCAGGTTCGTGCCGCCGGGATGGAAGCCGTTTGATGACGCGTATCCATTCAAGGCCTACATGCAGAGACTTCACTTATGGTGGCGGCTGACCCCGCTGGACGAACGTGAGGCTGGTCCATCAATGGCGGCAAGGTTGTTGGATCGAGCATTTACAGTTGCGATGAACTTAGAGATCACACGAGATGGAGTGAAGCACACTGGTGACGCGGCCCTCTCGCTTCCTCGACAGTCGGAGGAGCGAGACGCCAACGGGAACATCACGCAACAGGCCGACATCAGTGGAGCTGGTCACCTGATGCAGAAGCTGACAGAGGCGTTCGAGATTCATGACCAGGACAAGCAGGGCGAGTACCTCGACAAGTTCCTGGACACCAGGCGTGGCAATCAGACGTTGCAAGAGTTTCTATTGAGTTTCCGTGAGAGATATACCGAGGCGAATGACAAGGCGGACCTGACGATCAGCAACGTCGGACTGACACATATGCTGTTCAAATGGTGTGGTTTGCCAGTCAGGCGTATCGCAGACATCAAACTCCACATCAACGGAGATTTGGAGCAGTTTCAGACAGTGTATTCAATGCTAACGAGAATTGCCAAGCAAGAGATGGCGTCAGGCAGTGGACACGCACATCACTACATGGACGATGACCAAGTCTCAGACCATGTCGTGGACTACTACCAGGACTATGACGACGATGGAGCAGAGTTGATAGACTGGACACATGACGAGGAGAGCGGCCTACACTATCGCGAGTATTGGACGGAGACTGGTGAGGCGACCTACGGAGCTTACGACGACAACGGCATCTGGTACGAGGCCAACGACATCGAGGCGTGGCTTGACGAACAGGAGCTGGATCAGGCGTACCAGATGAACGGTTTCAGGAGACGTTTCCGCTTCGGCGGCTTTCGACGGAAAGGTAAAGGCAAGAGTGGCAAGGGCAAAGGCGGACGTGGTCGCGGCAAATCTCGCGGTCGTGGTTTCGGACATGGAAAGGGACGTTGGTATAAGAGTAACCACTACGAGGAGCCGACTGACCAGAGCATGTGGGGCGACAGGAAAGGTGGCAAGAAGTACGGCAAGCACAACACTCAGGACAGCAGCAAAGGTAGCGGATGTAGCACTTGTGGCTCGAAGTGGCACAAGAGCACAGACTGTCCGGCCAACCGCCATCAGCCTGGACAAGCCCATCAACAATCTGGTCAAGGGTTCTCGACGGTCTCCTTTCATGCCGGAATATCAGGCGACGACCCGAGGATCAACCTGGCCGCGTACGACGACCTGCCCTTACGACAGTCAACACCATCGGTCTCATCGTACAGCACTGGTTCCTGGGACTTGCCAACATCGCCATCGCCATACGCGCCAGAATCACCAGTGGACGCCTCCGTATATCACGATTGCCCCGAATACAAGCTGGACCAGGACGACGATGCAGATGACTATGAGCATTCAGGAACGTCTTATGGCGATCGGACTGCAGATCGTGATGTGATGGATGGAGTCCATGATGACGAGGAAGCTGAGGAGCACTACGGATACTTCTACAGCCGACTCCGCCAAGGTCAAAAAGGCAAGAAGGGAAAAGGTAAGCAGAAAACGGCAGCCAAAGACATCTCTCTTGGAGACTATCAGCCAAAGACATCTCTCTTGGAGACTATCTCCGAGACGCCTTTTCGCCAAGATCGACCGGCTGCTACAGATATATTTGGTACTTCGGCTCGTGCCCCGACACAGACATCACGATCAGCCAGGACATCATCGACATCAGCGACGCGAGTATTCGACCTTCCTCAGCGTGAAAGCATACCGGCCGACACAGAGAGATCAGAAGCAGAAGCTGGCCAACCGACATCACCTCGACCTACGACAAGCACCTCGAGCACGTCTCAGATGACTGGGTCCCCGACCAAGGGCTCGTTCGCGGACATCATGCACACGTCATTCCTCAGCAATCACATCTTTCACGAGGAGGATGACCCGACGAACGACGGCTCGGTGGCATATCATTCAGTACGAGGAGACAAGAGACTCGGCATCATCATTGACCCAGGAGCTGCAAAAGGTCTCGGAGGCACCGAGACGCTGCGTGAAGTATGTCAGGCACTTCTCTGGCCACGAGGCCAGAGGTTGGAGGTGAAGTCTTCTTCGGCCAAGTTGTCAGGCATCGATGGAGTTCCGAATCCATCACTGGGTCTGGGCAAGTTGCCGTTGTACCTGGACGCGCTGCCCAACTCGAGCTTCACGATGGACATGCTCGGTGGTAGCGGCAGTCGATGCCCTCTTTTGATGCCTTTGGAGACGATGATCAATAACACCATGGGTCTTCTCACCGGCATCCTGCCGAATCGAGACGGAGTCCTCATCATCAACACGCTGGACGGTCTCGGGAACAAGGTAAGACCGACCTGCTACATGAGGGCTCTCTACACGGACTCCGGCCACTACTTGTTTCCGATCGACGATCCGCAGGCTGGCACTGGCCGTGAGCGAGATCGACTCAAACAGGCGGTGAAGGCTTACATGGCGAAGGTTCTGGATGAGGACATACCCAAGAGCACCACGACGGTTCTGGATACGGTACTGATGACAAGCACAGACAGAGATGACAAGCAGATCGAGGCACATCAGTCACTGGACACCGGCATCTATGTACCTGACTCGCATCGAGGCATGCACAGCGGGAAGAAGGAGACGCTTGCCTTGTCCAATGCTTTGGACGCCGGCAGCTATGTACCTGACTCGCAGAAAGGTGGCATGCCCAGCGGGAAGAAGGAGACGATTGCCACGTCCAGGACTGAAGCAACGGAGTTGGATGCAACCAAGTACGAAGAAGCACAGACCTCAGAGAGTAGAATGAGAGTGAGATCGGAGGTCTACAATGCCATCAGCACCAACACCAACACGATCCGATCTACTTGGACAGCAAGGACTACTACAGAAGGTGGCGAACCTTCAAAGCATCGAGATGGACTGGTGTCAACATGTGGCCCAAGAAGATGGACACCAACAGAGCCAAGCAGCTCGACACAGGCTATCGGGCCATGCCGGAGGAGTTCTACTTCGAGAGCCAATTGCCTGTCGTGACACCCGAGAACCTGGAGAGCTGGATGGAGCACATGAGCATCTACCATGTGGACGTGCAGGAGCGCATGTCCGGCAGCAGCAGGTTCTCTCGACGAGCTTCACTGCAGGGTCTCATGGTTGGCTTTCCTGTGGACTATCGATACGGCTGGGACATGTCTGACAGACACCACCAGAGGCTGCTGAGCACCTTTCGCGGCAAGTGCCACATCGGCACAACCTTGTGGGCACCTACCTGTCAGCCATGGTCTATCGCCAGCAGGCACAAGGATCCGGCTTCTCTGGAAAGCGAGAGAAGATCACAGGCACCAGCTATCATCTTCATGCTGAATGACATTAAACAGACAGCGGACACCGAGCAGCAGCATATCGTTGAGAATCCACACAACAGCGATTTCTGGAGCAAGTCTGACTACACAGGCGTGGTCGACATGAACATCATGAGGAGCTACGCAGCAGACCAGTGCTCATTCGGCGCGACCAACGAGCTCGGTGAACCAACTCGGAAACGGACACGACTGGATTTTACATTTTCCCTGAGAGCGAGCACACGACATTGCAGATGCAAGATACCTCATGGACACTTGACTGGTGCAGTCGACGGCATCAAGCGCACAGCCAAGGCGGCAGTCTATCCAAAGAATTTCTGTGACGCTATTGTGAAGGACATCATCAGGATCGTGAGGCACCAGATTCACTGGGGGTGCGAGAGGTGTCGGCTCGGCAACAAGACGGACTCGGATCATACTCGCAAGCCGGGCAACTGCAGGATGGCACCACGTAAGGCTGCTTCCCGAGCACCTAAGGCACCACAGCACACAGATGATGAAGATCATGAGGCACCAGCAGCACCAAAGGCAGAAGTGGATGAGGCTCCTGAGATCGCACCCGATGACGACGAAATGAAGCAGGAGTCCAAGGAGCACGACGAAGTGAAATATGAGCCTGAAGAGCTGGACGAAGTAAAGCTGGAGCCCCAAGAGCATGACGAAGACGAGCCAGCTATTCATCCTCTTGACGAAGCACCACCAGGAGAAGAACCTCAGCCTGTACCAGGAGCTCCGGGTGTTGAGGTACCTCCTCCTCCTCATCCTGATCCCTCTCAGGAGAGACCGGCCAGGAGGCGGATCACGAGCAAGCAGAGGGTGGAGGAGCCAGAGATTGCTATGAAGAAGTGGTACGACGTCAAGCCCAACTTCGATCTCAGCAAGATGGTCTCTCGCCTGAAGGAGGCTACCGACAAGAAGGAGATCTTACGGTTGCTGCTGGGTTTTCACATCAGGTTTTGGCACGCTCCCGTGCCGGACATGATCATATTCCTCAAGAGTGCAGAATGCTGGAACAAGACGCTGGCCGCAGTCATCACAATGGTCTGTCTGGCCTGTTCTGTGTGCAGGGACTTGGCCAGACCTCTTACAAAACCACGAGCTGGAATCACAATACCATTACGTTTCAACCACAGAGTTCAGCTAGACTTGTTCTTCATGTGGGACAAGGTGTGGCTTCTGGTCATAGACGAACTGTCCAGATACAAAGTGGCGGACATCGTCGCAGATCGCACGCCCAAGGAGCTACTGACTACCTTGATGAGGTCATGGATCAGATATTTCGGGCCCATGCAGATCATGGTTCTGGACCAGGAAGGCGGCCTCGTCTCAGAGCTGTCTTCCCGAACATGCGACAAGCTGAACATCAAGCGACGATATGCCGGCACTGACGACCACACGATGACCGGTCTAGTGGAACGTTGGATTCAGCTGGTTCGACTCTGTGCCATGAAGCTCAAGCGCACATGCACCACGCAGGGGTTCGAGGTCTCGGACACGGACTTAGTTCAGGAGGCGGCCATGGTTTCCAACAGCATGGTCAGCTACGGAGGTCAGACGGCGACGCAAGTGGTCTTGGGCTTCACACCCAATGACTACTACGACCTCGAGGCCACCACGTTGGACTCCGTGCAGAGCGCCGACGTGAGCTGCCCCGATCCGTTCGAGGCAGCTGTCAGGCTTCGTCTTCTTGCGAAGGCAGAGATGGCACGAGCGATCGTTGAGGACAGAGTTGCACGAGCTAACAGGACACGCGTTCAACAACACGGACCCGAACAGGAGCTGAAGGTCGGGGAGTCCGTTGACATCTACAGAGTACCAGATCGCAAAGATCAGCCAGGCTGGCGTGGCCCGGCTGAGCTCGTCAAGATCTCGGAGGGCACGGCAATAGTTGTCTGGAACGGAGTACCTTGCATTCTGCCGGTGCGGTACCTCAGGAGGCATCTGGTCGGCTTCCTAACGTATCAGGCAACCAATATCTCCGAGCTCAAGACAGGCGACCAGCAGATGCTCAACACTTTGGGCAAATTGATGGACATCGTGGACGGCAGCATCTATGGACAAGTGACACGGCTTGGCAGGACAATCACTCAGGATGGCCAAGTCAAGTGCTCACCTGATGCCAAGACACTGGTAAATCTTCAGCCCTGGAAGTTGAGCATGATGACGTACAGAACGATTTTCCACCTCAAGAGCCTGGACGGCATATTGTACGGCACGTCGCTGCGCAGGGTACCACCACTGCATGCAGTTCGGTTCGGCCTACTTGTCTTGTGGGAACGAAAGGATCGCACCAATTACATGACCTACGAGATCGACCCGAGCATGGGCGTGACAGTTGGCAGTCTGGCAAGTTTCAAGTGGGAGAATACCTCGTTCATGATGTACTATTCAATACCATCACAATCGGAACCCTTCTTGGACGAGCACCACTTGCCAGACATGAATGATCTTTCTCGCATTGAGCCAGTACCCGAATCGACGATCGACGTGAACCGTGACGTTCATGACATGATAAGCCTACTTCCCGACTTGGACGACTGGATGGATCAGGACGCCATAGCCGACACACAGCCAACGGAGAAGAGTCAGCTTGATCAGGCCACAGTCGACAGTCCTGGAGCAACACGGCTATCTGCACCACAACGAGAGGCACAACCTCATCAGAGTGAAGGTGTCATTGTTGCTCCACCTGTGGAACCAGTTGTGCAGCCCTGGCGACCTGCACACTCTGGAGGCACAATATCGACACCGGCATCTACAGCATCACAGACGAGACCGACACAGATGACCTCGGCACCGTCAGCTGCTCATCCTCTTCCTCCAGTTGGAGATCCAGATGTGAGCATGGACCTATCACGGGACCTTAGCAGGATTATGGAGGAGACAGAACAGATGGACATATCTCGAGAGCTGAGCAAAGTGATTGACCAGAACCCGATTAGGACTACGACGACTCCAACACCAGGCACGTCACCGACAATCCTGAGGCCAGGGTCCACTGACACTGCGGCGGCACCTCCTCCAGCTTCCGCTGATGTGCAGATGGTTCCATATGTACCTATTGCGACATCGACATCAGGTCAATCACCTGCATCAGACACACCACGACGAGTTCGACTGGACGATCGTGAGGAACGTATGAGCCCTACCGGCTCGCCCACGACAGTGGCACCTGGTACATCGCCAACGACAGAGCAGATATCACCTGCTGTGTTGGAACCTGGACAGGCTCACGATCACGATCTCGCGAAGGAATTGAGTGACCTCATTCAGGCAGACATGGACGACGAAAACAGTGGGCTCGTGCCGCAGACAGAGACCGCGGCAGACGCACAAGACCTGGAGAGGACGACCCACGATAAACGATATCATGACGACATGGAGCAAGCCAGCACGATGAGTTTGCAGCAGAGACATCCTCGGCGGCGGACAGAAGATCATGATGACAGCTCACCTGCACCAGGAGATAGACCTCATCTCGATCAAGCTAATCAACCGGTACAGGTGGACGCTACGCAACCTCAGGAGCTGGACCTCACCGGAGAGATGGAGAACATCCTGGATCAGACAGCAGCAGATGGTCATGACACTGGTGCTGTACCACTCATGGACGGAGAACGAGATCTTTTCGCTCGCCACAACACGATGAACAGCGTCATCAATTGGCAGACTGGCGAAGCAGAGATGGTCAACCGGCTGAAGGAGTCCTACGTCGACGACTCCCTCTCGCACATCCTCGAGAGCCACAGTGAGGCACAGTCATACCTCTCCAGCATCCAGATGAGCGACCTACCATGGAACTCCAAGGAGGCTTTGTGGACTATTCGAGGGCCATGGCGCCAGGATACATGTTTCCTGTTCTGCATGCGCACTGGTGAGGTGCAGTCCCATGTCGGCGTGAAAGAGTCCGACAACCTGAGCGAGGAGGATGTTCTGACCCACTGGCAGTTGGTAGAAGAGGCCGACCTGAAGGAGCTGCAGGCCTTTGTTGATCACAAGGTCTTCGCATGCAAAGCACGGCGCACGATGGGCAGTAGCAACACCATCGACGCTGCATGGGTCAGAAAGTGGAAGTATGATGCGAAGCGCAAGGAGTGGATCATCAAGAGCCGGCTGTGCGGACGAGGTTTCCTCGACAAGCAGAAGCACGAGATCCAGCGCCACTCGAGCACCGCCAGCAGGTTGAGTCAGAAGCTGATTGTCTCGACCGCGCAGGTGCACGAGGGTTTCGAGCTCGAGAGCTGGGACATCAGCACGGCCTTCTTGCAAGGGCTGAGCTTCGACGAGATCAGACGTCGTTCGAAGGAACTCAAGATCAACTGCGAGACGGTGCGCAAGGTGTTCCTGGCACCTCCGGCCAACGTTTGGCGACTGCTGGACAGGCTGCCGAACAGCGGCATCCACGTGAAGGAGTGGGACATCGACCTATTCGTTCTGGAGCTGCTGAAGCCGATGTACGGCTTGGTCGACGCACCACACTTGTGGCAAGTAGCGCTCACACTCTTCCTAGTGGATGTGCTTCATGCGAGGGTAAGTCTTTGGGATGAGAACTTCGTCTACTGGACCTATCGAGATCTACCGGCTGAAGTTCGTGACAGAGCTCAAGAGACACGCTCCATTGATGATATTGCAGCGGCACTGTCCATTCATGTGGACGATCTCTTGTCAGCTGGACGCTCTCAACACTTGGAGTATCTGAGGAAGTTGCTAGAAGGCAAGTTCGGAGCGGTGAAGAGACAGCAGCTGCCATTCACACACAATGGGGCACAATATGCGAGACTGAAGGACGGCACGATATTGCTTCAACAAGTTGATCACCTGAGCAAGATACCCTTCTGTCAAGTACCTGATGGAGCTGATGACAAAATGGTGACGGGAGTGTTTGCTCATGGGTTCCGGAGCATACTTACATCGATGCTGTTCCTGTGTCAGTGCAACCTTCACATCATGACGGAGGTGACTCAGCTGCAAGGTTTCAACAACGAGCCCAGGATCACACACCTCAAGAGGGCCAATGCACTACTCAAGCGAGCTCAAGGAGATACGACATTGGTGGGCTTGCACTATCCCATGCTGAGTCCTCCGTTTTGTCTTCGAGCGGTTGGCGATGCGAACCACACTACTAAGTCTTCGGTGTACCCTCAGGAGGGACAGTTCGTGTTGCTGATGGAGGACAAGGAGTTGAAGGTTGATGAGGCTCACCTGCTGATGGACGCATCAGCTCTGACTGGCAGGTGTCACGTACTCATGGCAATAAGTAGCAAGGCAAAGAAGGTTGCGCACTCGACTTCGATGGGTGAGACTAATTGTGGATTGGCCGTGGTATCAGGAGCTCAGATGGTTGCCATGCGACTCTCGGAGATGCACCTGGCTCTGAGCTGCACCACGAAGCAGATGATATCTGTCCTCATCGAGATGAACAACACAGGCCAGTACGTAGTCGCGATTGACCACTTGACGGACTGCAAGGACATGTTCGAGCTGGTGACGGGCCTGAAGGGAGTGCCTCAGGACCGTCAACAGAGGCTGGCCATCATGGCCCTAAGAGAGGAAAGAATGACAGGACGAGTGCGAAATACATTGCATATCCCAACGGACGTGATGCTGAGTGACGCTTTGACGAAACCTGGAACATTTCCTCAGCTCATGTACCTACTAACAACCGGCATCGCCAAGTTTCATGGAAGCAAGAAACCGATCACCTGCAAGCGTATGTTACATCGACCTGGAGCTTTCTCAGAGTCAGACTTGGAGAGTATCCAGAGGTTCGACTAGATTTGTTGCACGAACATCATTGAGGAGAATATTTTTTGATGTCTCACTTTCTATGATTTCTGGATTGCTGTACTATTTTATGAGCTTCAGCACCGTGCTGGAGAACATGTCCGACATCAATGTAGCGTGTGGAAGGCGCCGCCCGGGCTGCCTCATCTTTGCACAGTTTTCCTAGAGAGTAGAATGAGAGTGAGATTTCGTGTTCCCTCTTGGCTAAGATCAAGTGCAGTATCTGTTGTATGATTAGTAGCATGCATGCAGGCTTTGTGTTAGGGGATATTCGACCGTGATCGCATGAATGCTCAAGGATGCGGGTTCGCTAGCTACAAACATTTGAGTGGTACCCCTCGCCCCCCCCCCCCCCCCCCCCCACCCCCCCCCCACCCCCCCACCCCCCCCCCCCCCGCCCCCCCCCCCCCCCATGTCCACGCTTCCCGGGTTAGCCCCCCGGGCCCCACGGAACCCTTATTTCGTCGTTCGTTCGTGTCGTCGTTCCTCCTCGCCAGCCCCCCTGTCCACGCTTCCCAGGGTAGCCCCCTGGGCCCGAACCCTTTATTTTCGTCGTTCGTCGTGTCGTTCGTCCCCCTCGCCCCCCCCCCTGTCCACGCTTCCCATGGTAGCCCCCCTGGGCCACGGAACCCTTTATTTTCGTCGTTCGTCGTGTCGTTCGTCCCCCCCCCCCTGTCCACGCTTCCCAGGGTAGCCCCCCTGGGCCACTTTTATTTTCGTGTCGTGTCGTGTCGTGTCGTTCGTCCCCCTGCCCCCCCCCCTCTGCCGTCCGCCCAGGCTTCCCAGGGCAGCCCCCCTGAGCCTCGGACACCTTTGTGCAAGAGCCAGGGCACGCGTGCCACTTGTTACTATTATTATTATTATTATTATTATTGTTGTTGTTATTATTATTATGTGATGATGATGCTGATGATGATGATGATGGTGATGATGATGATGATGATGGTGTTGCTGCTGATCATGTTGATGCTGATGTTGATGTTGATGATGATGATGATGATGATGATGATGATGATGATGATGATGATGATGATCGTGGTGGTAGTGGTGGTGAAGATGATGATAGTGGCGATATTGATGACGATGATGGTGCTGCTGAGACATAAACGAACCTGTTGATGCTACTCATGTTGATGATGATGTTGATGATGCTGATGCTGGTTTTAACGATGCTGATGCTGATTATGATGATGATGGTGAATCTGATGATGATGCTGATGATGTCGATGATGATGCTGATGATGGTGACGATGATGATGATGATGATGATGCTGATGATGATGATGATGATTATGATGATGCTGCCGCTGCTGCTGCTGCTGATGACGATGATGATGTTGATGTTACTCCTGATGATGGTGATGATGATGCTGCTGATGATGCTGCTGATGATGCGGATGCTGGTGATGATGCTGCTGATGATGATGATGATGATGAGGATGATGATGATGATGATGATGATGATGATGATGATGATGATGATGATGGTGGTGACGACGCCGATGATGGCTGATGCGGATGCTGATGCTGATGCTGCTGATGATGATGATGATGATGGTGATGCTGGTGCTGGTGCTGATGCTGCTGATGATGATGCTGATGCTGACGATGATGGTGGTGGTGGTGATGATGCTGAGGTTGGTGATGATGATGATGATGATGATGATGATGATGATGATGATGATGATGATGATGATGATGATGATGGGTGATGATGATGATGATGATGATGATGATGACGACGATGATGACGATGATGATGATGATAATGATGATGATGATGATGAGGATGATGACGATGATGATGATGCTGCCGCTGCTGCTGTTGCTGCTGATGATGATGACGATGATGATGCTGATGCTGGTGCTGGTGCTGGTGCTGGTGCTGATGCTGCTGATGATGATGCTGATGATGATGATGATGATGGTGGTGGTGATGATGCTGAGGTTGGTAATGATGATGATGATGATGATGATGATGATGATGATGATGATGATGATGATGATGATGATG